CTACTTAGATCACCAAAGGTTTGTTTCACAATTTAAATTTTAAAAAGAAGGTTAGTTTCAGACATGGATACAGTAATTGTAGATAGGGTTATTTCTCCAGAGAGGAGAATGCAAGCAGGCACAGAAATTGCATTGTACAAAGTAATGAAGATGAAGGGATGGAGACAAGCATCCAGTAACTGAACCTTCTGCTGCTGATATTTCCTTTTAGGTTTAAGTAGCTCAAGCACATCAGCAGATTCATTTACTCATCCAGGAAATGTCAGAAGTAAACAAATCCTGATCACATGCCAGCAGTCACCTGTGAATAGAGGAAAAGATGGACACGAGGAAGGCGCTGCTGCTTTTATTGCTGTGCCAGGCGGTATGTAAGAAGCATTCCAGTCAGTGCACCACACCTGTTGATCTTCTTCCTCTTCCACATTCATTTTACCAGCCTGGTGACCTGATTGTTGGTGAGATTGTTTCTCAAGTCGCCTACGTACACAACACTCCTTCATTTGACCTGCAGCCTGAGGAGTTTTCCGTTTCTGAGGCTATGTAAGGCTTTCTTTCGTACTCTTTCTATCATTTATTCATTTAGCTATCAATGTGTACTGTTAGATTCCAGTCTAACAGCACCTTAGAAACCAACAAGAGGTTAAGAGTACAGGCTTTTGAAAGTCCCCTTCATCCATGGTGTTGTTTTTTTAAAAAAAGAAAGGGAAAATTAGATTGTCTTGTGGAATAAAATCTCAGATAGATGGATGGATGGCAGTGAAAAGAGCAGAGAGAGGTGGAGTGGAGAGAAGAAGAAAGGGGAAGAAGGAGCTTATCTTTACGTGGCATGTACTATGGCTTAGTAAGTATCTGAAGGGTTATGTAGTCCTTAATATACTGAGTTAGTTCTAAGCGGACTGTTACTCAGTTTGGCTGTTGCCGTAAAAGAGATCAATGGGAATCCCTACATCTTGCCAAAGAACACCCAGTTTGTTGGTGGGATCATTTGCACCACAACAGAATGGAGTTTCATCTTGGAGTAGAAATATAAATCCAAGGACAATATGCATAATTATTTTCAGGTAGTTGGATTTTGAGCATTATGCACAAGATGACTTCATGGGTCAGCCTGTGGCATCATCACTGACTGTTTAGCCCCTCTCCTGAGGGAGGTTCAACTGTCTCCCTCTGTGTCTTTTCCCAGCAAGTGAAAACCTTTTTTGTTTCATGTGGCATACCTTTTATAACGATATCATCTCCTCTTCTGGTCCTGTGTGCTTATGTGTTTTGAATTCAATTGTATCATTTTAACTGTATTTTTGATCGTTTAAATGTTTTATCGTTTTTATGTTCACCGACATACGGACCACTGATTGAATGGAGGGGAAGCATAAAAGTGTTTTAAATAAATATATCCCCCTACCCCATGCACTAGGAATTATGGCACCATGTCTCACCCCATTTTGTCCCCCCCCATCAGCAGGCAAAGGAACAAAAATTAACACACACGCACTTCTCACCCAGGCACCTTCTTCTATAGAGTTTTTTTAAAGGGAAAATTATGTCATCTTGTGGATTAAAATATCTGATAGTTGGATGGATGGCAGCGAGAGGAGCAGAGTGAGGTGGAGTGCAGAGAAGAAGAAAGGGGAAAAATGAGCTTATCTTTACATGGCATGTACTTTGGCTTAGTAAGTATCTGAAGGGTTATGTCTAAAACTTCACAGAAGAGGGGGACTTTGCAGATGGATCTGAAGGCAGTGAAAGAGCTGACAGCACTCTACTGGCCTGGGAAGCAGATAGAGGCAAAAGGAACATAATGTTAAGAGTGGTAGCCAAAGGGACAAGAAACCTCTGGTGCCTCATGTTGTGAGGTTGGAAAAATGATGACCAGGGGCAGGGATACATCAGGGTATGGTAATGAAGGGTAATGAGAGGTAGGGTAGCCATGACAGGGTGCAATGGTAAAGGTGAGGAGGCTGTGTTAGATCCAGGAGATAAGAGGAATCCAGCCAAAGGGTGTTAGGGAAATCATCAAACAGGGAGAATGGAGTGATTTTGGTGGCAGAGTGCCGGTTGGAGACAGGGGCCGAAGTGTAAGAACTGAATGATAGAGAAGATATTTTTGTATTCAAGACAAAGTAGGACCAGAACATGGATGAAGATTATTTACTAAGGAGTTGAGGAAGAAGGGAGATACTTTTCCAGTTTGCAGTATACATGGAATATGTAAAATATATGTGGACCTGAGCTTCTGGAAGTGGAATTTGGCTTCTGCAGTTGTGTCCACTGAAAGGCATCATATCAAGGCTTACCACCCTTTCCAAACAGAATTTGCCTTATGCCACAATTGGAATGTATGTGTATGGCAACATGGGATGAACCAGTGGTTTCAGGGTCTCATGCTTCAGTCTCTCTTGGGCTATGAACTCATGGATGTTTAAGGCCTTGTCAAGCAGCAAGTTTGGGGCTCCTCTATGACTGGCTGAGTCAGAGGGTCATTTGGGGTTTTTGCCTGTTTCTTCTTGACATCAACTAGGAAGGTAGGCTGGGTTTATGGGATGCATCAGCCATATTTTGATTTCCAGGAACAGGGAGGGTAGGTCATTACATGTAAAGTCAGCTGGCTAGTATCCTGAGCCATGATGTGGGGGGGGATTCACAAATAGCCCATCATTCACATCCTTTCATCTTGCAAGGATAAAACATCCCTCCCCTTCAGTCTTCATATCAGTGGGATGATAGCCAAATTGCTCTGATTTCTTATCAATATTAGGGGAATATGAATTATTTATAAATAGCAATTGGCATATGGGAGCGATCACCTGTATATACAAAGACTGCCACTTATCCAGAGTACTAGTAACAGACAAGCAGGCTGATATTAGTTTAAATCAAAGTCTTTTACTGTATTTTATGCACAATGAAACATTACACCAAACACACAAACAATTATACAGGGCTAAGAAACTTAGAGAGATTGGGATAGCACATTTGCGTTAGCAGGAGTTTCGTTGGTTGGGCAATACTTTTATCTGATCCTGAAGAGATGAAGTCTTTCAAATGGAAAAATAGGAGAGTTCTAGGAAAATGGGGATTATGCTAGGAAATGGGAGCGTGCAGACTGAACCAGCAGAAAGCACGTGGGACTCTGGCTGCGCAGACCAGGAGTCTTAGGTAAGGGTAGGTGACAAGATAGCCACAAGTTCAAGAGGTAGAGAGTATAGAGGTCATTGAGGGGGAGGAGAGAGAGAGAGAGAGAGAGAGAGAGAGAGAGAGAGCATCTCTGTGTGTCATCTTTTATTAGGCGAGCTTAGGAGGTGGACTTTGCAGGTCCCCTCCCTTGGGATGACATAGGGGGGAGGACTTGCTGGACCCCTCCCAGAAGACAACCCCCATGAGGTCCAAAAATCACATATGCAGTGGAGGAGAGGAGTCTAGATTGGGCAATATCGAACTGTTAATTAAGCTGGTAACAGAGACACCTGGATGGACATTGAGTCATCGTTTAGCACTGATTGTCCTCCTTTGTCTTGAGGCTGCCAGAACCGGTTCTCCTAGGTAGGCAGCGAAGCCAATACTTTTGTTAAGGGATTGTGGAAGATGTTCCTTTGTGTAGGCTTTGCAGCAATGAAGATGTTGGGGGGAGAAACATGTTAGGTTTCTGGAACAGAGTCACTTAATGGTATTTTGACTCCATTGCTTAACTTGCAATGGCAAGGTGGCTGCTTGTGTAGTGCTTGTGGTGTGTATAGGAAAAAGTCTCTGGAACTGGGCAACCCTTTGGAAACCGTGGGCACATCATCTCAGGCATCTGCTGTTGTGTGTGGCTGGCATCTCACTCTGGTTACCTGGCATCATAGTCCTTTTACACCCTGGTGCACATTTCATAGTTCATAAGAGAGCAAAAAGCTCCTTGCTGGCTAACAGGGGCACCATCAAGTACATATTTACATGCACAACCCCCTACTCATTAAAGTAAGAATAGAAAGGGGGAATTAACCATGGAGGTCAGATATGGCATCACAAAGATTAAAATGCTTTCCCCAAACCTGCCCTGTGGTGAATTTCATCATTTCATTTTGTTATGCCAATAAAAACAACATTCAGATACACACTCCTTGCCACAGACTGGAGATAAAATCTTTCTGATTAAATTATATTATATGATTAACAAAGACAAGATATTCAGATTGGAATTTATGTTCATTTCCAGTCATCCCAAAACACTTTAAACATTAGCACTTGCACAGGAATATATCCTATGAAGAAACCTTTCTTATTTCAGTTGCTCCTAATTACCTTTTAACAAAACTTTTCCTGAAATAAGGTTGCTCAGTATTTCTGTACAGTTTTGTCTTTAAAGGGCACAGCTATGATGTAAGCTAATCTCATTCACATAGTTACTTCTCCAATATCCATAATTCCATTTCACATGCACAAACCACCATGATTTTTTTTGGGGGGGGGGGTTGACACTGAGATAAACATTATCACTTACAAGTAACAAACCACTGTTAAAAGCACAGCTGTAAAAAGATAGTTTTAAAGGACGGAAGCATTGTTTGATGAAGAATCTCCTTAAAGGATTCGCAATAATGAATTTAAGGCTTAATCTGCATTTCATTTTTAAAGCAGTCTTGATGCCGTCTTTCTTTATACTAGTGTGATGCTTGTTTCAAAGTGGTACCAAAAATCTGCTATTTTTTTCTGCTTGCTGGCCAGGAATGTTGTTGTTCTCCTCCCTCTTCTCTAGCACGCCTGGTGTTTGCCATCACCCATTAGCTTTACACAAGGCAATAAATTACTTAAGGCAACAAGCCAACAAGTTATAAACTTCTCTTTACATTCAAAGAGAAGGATTTTTCAGCTTTCAGTTTTGCCCAGCTTTTGGTTTAAACAAGAAAGCAAAAATAGCCAAAATAGCTAAAAAAACTGTAAAGACTGGGTGTTTAGCTTGCAGAATGTATGTATGTATGTATGTAGAAGGGATCTTTCTCTAACTTTTCAGGCAATATAAAAATCACAAAACACGATAAAATCATTCACTCTTAGCTTGTCAAGCAAGGGAAAAGTTTCTTACATTCCTCTATGTGCGCTCAGAAGGTAAACAGAGCAGATAAGTCTCTGATTAGCACTTGGGGGGGGGGGGGGCTTAGAGTGATTTTAAGCACATTCATTTGAGCCAGAGAGAAGCCACAATCATGACAGAGCAGAAACCATAGGGCAATAAAATAATGCAGACAGCAGAAATGATAACAGTGCAGTAGGAGAGCAAAACCTAAAGAGATGTGGAAATTTTTTTTGGCGATGGAGCGAGAGGGTAGCCGAAGCAGTGGAAATACCAGTGAAGATTCCACCTAATTTAATTGTTCAACAGTGGAAACAGCTGCCTGGGGAGCTTCCTTTCACTGGCAGTCTGTAAGCAGATGCTGGAAAAAACATTGTCAGGGATGCTCTAGGCTGATCTGTGATTCTATAAAGGAGATAATATAAATTTGATGAACTGATTTTATACACACACACACACATACATAATGTTCTTGGTTGTCAAGCTCATCTAAAATTCTCATTATAGATCAGTGCCAAAGAACTACCAGCACAACTTGGCATTGGCTTTTGCTGTAAAAGAAATCAATGGGAACCCCAACATCTTACCAAACATCACTTTGGGCTTTCACATCTTCAACAGCTACTACAATGCAAAGATGACCTCTAAAGCTACTTTGAGTTTGCTTTCTTCACAGACCAAGTTTCTCCCCAATTTCCAGTGTGAAACACAGAGCAATCCCAGGGCAGTCATTGGAGGACTGAGTTCACACATATCTGCTCAAATTGCCTCCACAGTCACCATTTACAAAATACCACAGGTAGGCCATCCGTACAGAGCTATGGAAATTTCACTGCTTTGACATGTTTGAATGGCATGTTTCATTCTATCTTTAACAAACTATACTTCTTCCCCTAGCTCATTTATGGATCATTTTCCCTGGTGCAAGAGAACAAATTGCTACTTTCTTCCATGTATCCGATGGTCCCCAATGAAGCCATTCAATATATGGGATTTATCCAGTTATTTCGCTACTTCAGATGGACCTGGATTCTACTGTTTGTTTTGGATGATGACAGTGGGGACAAGTTCTTGCAGATGATGGTGCCAATGCTTTCTGAGAATGGCATCTGTTTTGACTTCACTGTAAGACTACCAAAACAGACTTATTTCCAAGATGTGATGGATGCACTTATAAGGCCACCGGAATATTTATTTTTTCTCACTCATACCAAAGCCAATGTGTGCTTTGTATATGGAGAAAACTCATCCATGTTCATTTTGAGAATTTTGCTGTTTTTAGGACCCTTCATTTCATTTCCTTCTCTTCATAAAGTATGGATTATTACATGCCACTGGGACTTTGAATCAGTCTCTGTCCAAAGGGTTTGGGATATAGAAACCTTCCACGGTGCCCTATCCCTTGCAGTTCACTCCCATCAACCACCTGGATTCCAAACATTCCTGCAGTCCATAAGCCCTTCCTGGGCAAAAGGAGATGGTTTTATCGAGAACTTCTGGGAGCAGGCATTCAGCTGTGCCCTGAGGAATCCAAATGTTCATGGGGACAGCAAGGAAATGTGTACTGGGGAGGAGAAGCTGGATTCTATTCCACATGTTTTGTTTGAAATGAGCATGACTGGCCACAGCTATAATGTCTACAATGCTGTCTATGCAGTGGCACATGCTTTACATGCCACCTACGTATTCATATCTAAGCACAGAAGAATGGAAGAAGGGAGGACTCTAGAGTTCTATAATGTGCAACCATGGCAGGTAATTGCATCTCAAAGATTGCATTTCAAAGACACCTTGCCATTTCCATAGCAAACTTTACCTGTTATTATTTTATTTTGAATATTTGTACATGTTCTTTTAAAGTGATTTTAGAAACATACACATCATAAAAACACAGGATACCTAGCCTACAAAATGATAAAGAGCAACAAAACAGCTATAGTATTCATAAGCAGGTAGAAACAGTGAACCAGCTAAATCATTCAGAGCAAAGCGACCTGTTATAATCAGCAAAAATATTCAGTAGTAAAATAAAATACCTAAAATAATTTAAACATCAATATTGGCTACAAAGAAACCTTTTATGTATTGCAGCAGAATAAATAAATTAAAAACAGCCTGTCAGTAACAGGTTTTTCCAGAGAGTGGGACAACAAATATGTCTTCAGCCACTTCATAAATGATTGCTGATGTTCTCTTTGGTGGAACATCCAGAGCTTGGCACTGCAAGGAGAAAATATCTGGATTTCTGTCCTTCATTCTGCCAGTGAGAGCACACAGATCAGGCCATCCACAGATCATGTTGACTGGAGAGCAAGTTCAGGTATTCGGTAGTCTACTAGTTAGGAAACCTGGTCTTAGTTAACTGGGGGATTTATAGGTAAGAACCAGCAGCACTTTGCATTCTGCTTCAACCAAATTTATCCAGTGTAGATCCGTGCTATCCAGTATGTCTAGTGTACTAGTGCCTTTTCTGGGGCAGAGGAGATTCCTGAATACCTTTCACCTGGAGGTCTGGCCAACCTGCAAGCAATGAAAGCATAGACAATCATGACCAAATAAAGCCTCTGAAAGCTGGATCATACCTGGAGACCCAGTCAAAATTCGTAAAGAGTTCTAGAGTTCTAAGCTTTAATTTGGTTACACACACAAGGAGGGTCCCAAAATCTTTGGGGAGGAGTATAATCCATTTCTGAACTCCTCAGTGAATAGCACCACTGTACTCTCTAGATTGACAACCAATTTATTTTTTTTTCGTGTAGAAACAAGTGTCATTCAATAATCTTGGCCTCCCCAGAACAATGTCACTCAGGTCATAGTCATTTAAGCTTTTCCCTGATTTTCAGCCAGAATCATCTGTTCATTCATTCCTGGCCATCTTTGCAACAATAATTGTAATCTTTGCATTTGGCGTATCCTCGTCTGACCATTTCTTTCTCTGTTAGCTCCATCATTTTCTCAGGAGCATCAAGTTCAACAACAGCGCTGGGGACACAATGTGTTTTGATGGAAATGGAGAACTGAATGTTGGCTTTGATGTGACAAACTGGGTAACATTCCCAAATGGATCTTTTGCAAGAGTAAAAGTGGGAAGACTGGATCCTCGGGCTCCTCCAGGCAAAGAGCTGACCCTTATTGATGATCGGATTGTGTGGCACAGAACCTTTAACCAGGTGAGACATAGAGACAGAGTCTTGAGTGTATGAAGAGCAGAAAAAGTTATATATAACTCTGCCTGCCCTTGACATAGGGGTAGAGACTTAGAAACTTTTGGACCCAGTGGGCTGGACTTAATATTTTCCACTGTAGAAAAAGGATAAGGAGTCCCTTTTTTTTTTGCATATTTATTTATAGGGGTTTTTTTTACATAACAGGATAGAAAAGAAAAAAGAAGTACACAGTATTTTGAGTCTAGTTTTCAAACTTGTTATTTAACCATGCATACACTCTAGTCCATCGTTTGGAATACAATTCTTCATCTTTTCCTTGTAATATAATATTTAACCTGTTCAATTCCGCAATTTCCAACAATCTTTGTATTAATTCCTCTCTTGAAGGTGTTCTATCTGATTTCCAACATTCTTGTGGATGTTAAAGTATAAGTTATTATATACAGATCATTTTTTCATAATTATCAGGAATCATATTTAGTAAAAAGACTGATGGTGTGAAGGGTAATTAAATATTCATTATTGCCATTATTATTTTGTGTATTTTATGCCAATATTTCTGAATTATTCCACATTTCCACCACATGTGGTAAAAAGCTCCTATACTGTTTTTACATTTCCAGCAGTTATTTGTCATATTTGGGTAACATTTAGCTATTTTATCGGGTGACCAGTGCCACCTATGAAACATTTTATAAATATTTTCATATAGGGTATTGTTCTCATGAACTTTACTATGTTCCAAATTTTGGACCAAGATTCTAAATCTATATTGCGTTCTAAATCTTGCATTGAAGTAACCATCATTGTTTTTACTGCTTCATCTTGCATAAAATCGTCTAACAAAAATTATATAACTTTTTGAATCATTTTATCATTTTTAGAAAATCAAATCTTATCCAAATCATTTTTTGTCCCATCGAAACCTATCTTGTTATCTTTATTATACCTAGTGGTAAATTGTAAAGTTTCCCACCATGTTAACTTTATGTTTTGTGAGAGAAGATTCTCTTCAGTATCCGGTTTATTATTTCTATCTAATAAGGTCTCATAGCTCTCTATTTTTTTATCTTGCAGTACTTTCCCTTTGATTCGAGGTCTCATTTTATGCCATACAGATTGATTGCAGATTCTATCCAAGTCTTTAAAGTGTTGTGTTGTTCTTAAAATCGGTAAATTTTGAACTAGAAAGAGAAATCTGGGTAATATATTCATAAGAACATAAGAGACGCCAGTGTTGGATCAGGCCAAAGGCCCATCCAGTCCAACACTCTGTATCACACAGTGGCCAGAAATACCAGTGCCATCAGGAGGTCCACCAGTGGGGCCAGGACATTAGAAGCCCTCCCACTGTTGACCCCCCCCAAGCACCAAAAAGAAAGAGCATAACTTGCCCCAGAGCCCCCATCTATACCTTGTGGCTAATAGCCACTGATGGACCTCTGCTCCATATGCTTATCTAATTCCCTTTTGAAGCCGTCCAAGCTTGTAGCCACCACCACTTCCTGTGGCAGTGAATTCCATGTGTTAATCACTCTTTGGGTAAAGAAGTACTTCTTTTTATCCATTCCAACCCGACCGCTCAGCAATTTCATGGAGTGCCCACGAGTTCTTGTATCGTGAGAAAGGGAGAAAAGAACCTCTTTCTCTACCTGCTCTTTTCCATACATAATCTTATAAACCTCAATCATGTCACCCCTCAGTCATCATTTCTCCAAGCTAAAGAGCCCTAAGCGCTTTAACGTTTCCTCATAGGGAAAGTGTTCCAACTTTCATCTTTCATGTTGCTATTTTCCCAATGAATGACAATTTAAGATATTTCCACTTTTGAAGGTCTTTCTTTGTATCTGTCAGTAATTTGGTATAATTACCTTCTATCCGTGTGTTATTTCTATTAGTTAATAATATACCTAAATATTTGACTTTTTTAATATTTCCATAGCAGATGTTTCTTGTAGTTGGCTTATTTGATTCTGTGTACAGTTTTTGGTTAGTATGTTAGTCTTTTTGTAGTTAATTTTGAGACCTGCTACTTGCCTGTATCCTTCAATTGTTTTCACAAGGTAACGAATAGATACTATTGGTTCTTCTAATACAAAGATCAAGTAATCGGCAAATGCTTGTCGTTTAAATTCCTCTCCTTTTATCTTGAGGCCTGTTATCTTTTTTATTTTCTCGTATTAAATCATTCAATGTTTCTAATGTGAATACGAATAATAATGGTGATAATGGGCATCCTTGTCTCGTACCTTTTTGTATTTTAATGTTTTGCGTCATATCTCCATTTTCTATAATTTTTTGCAAACTGAGTATTGTATATAGCTTTGATAACTGTAAGAAATTTTGTACCACAATCCCATGCCTCTAACTTTTGTAATAAAAATTCCCAGCTGACATTATCAAAAGCTTTTTTGGCATCAAGAAATATTAAGGCCATCTGTTTTCCTGGATGCATTTCGTAGTATTCTAGCACATTAAGGATAGTCCGTATGTTGTTTTTAATTTGCCTTTTTGGCAAAAAAAAACCCCTGCTTGATCTTGGTGTATAATTTGTACTAAGATTTATCAGCCTGGTGGCTAATATTGTTGCAAATATTTTATAATCTGCGTTTAGCAGTGATATTGGTCTATATAGTTCTTAATATTGTTTTCATCTGAGTTAGGTTTGTGGTTAATGGAATCCAGGCTTGATTCCATGAGTCTGGAAGTTTTTCTGTTCTTGTTATGTTTTGTAACAGATGTTTTAATGGCAATACTATTTGATTATCAGACCTCTTATACATTTCAATTGAAAGTCCATCTTAACCCGGTGTTTTGGGTTTGTTTTTTTGTTTCTTTATTGCTTCTATAATTTCACAGATTGAAATTGGCTCATTTAATATTGATTTCTGCTTTTTATCGAACTTTTTCATATTCTGTTTGTAAAGATATTCTTTTGTTAGTTGGGTATTTTGAGTATTCTTTTTGTATAGTTTTTTGAAGAAATTTTCTGCTATAGTTTTCAGATCCTGTAAATTATGCTTTTCTTCTCCCTTTTCATTTCTTAGAGTTTTAATTATCTTTTTTTCTCTTTCTTTCCTTAGTTTGTATGATAGCCATCCTATCGGTTTATTTGCAGTTTCAAAATAATATTGTTTGGCATATCCTATATTCTTAGCTATTTCTTGTGTCAATATTAAATTAATTTGATGTTGTAGTAACCTTAGTTTTGTATTTATTTTTCCAGAGTCAGAATTCTTCTTCATCCTAACTTTTTTTTTCCCCCCAAATTTTCATTTTGCTTTCTCTTTTGTTTCTTTTTCCAGGCATCTTGATTAATACACCAGCCTCTTAAAAATGCTTTGAATGTCTCCCATACTATTTCTATAGATATATCTGGTTGAATGTTTAGTTTAAAAAACTCTTGAATCTTTATTTTAATTTTCTTAACAAACTCTTCATCCCTTTAACAGATCTTTGTTCATAGTCCAACTTGTCTTTTTTTGTATCCCCTGAAAAGTTAAAATTAATGGACTATGATCTGCAAATGTATTGGGTAATATTTTTATCTCTATTATTTCATTCACCATGGAGGTTGAAATCCATGCCATATTCATTTGGGACCATGAGTTGTACCTTGCTGAGTAATATGTATAATCTTTCTTACCTTGATTTCTAATTCTCCATGTGTCAACTATGCTTTGTTCTTCTGCGAATTCCAGAAAGAACATTTCCTTTTTTTTTTGGTCTGTTTTTTCCTATCTATTTTTGCATCAAATACTGCATTATAGTCTCCTATAATGCATATCTCATCAAATTGTTGCATTGCCAATATTTCTCGGGCCGATTGGAATCCCCCCCCATTTTAATTAGCAGTATAAATATTTACATTTAAAGTCCTTCTATTTTGTCTTAAAACTGAAATTACAACTATTCTTCCATCATTTGATGAGTATATTAATTATGGTCACAATATTCTTTGTCATATATAGCCATGCCCCTTTCCTTTTTTTGAATCTGCGGCAAAAATAAATTTCCTAATTTCTTAGATGTGAGGTATTTTATGCCGTCCTTCCTAATATGAGTCTCTTGTAGGCATGATATAGCCATCTGAAATTTACTTAGTTGGTGGAATGTTCTTCTTCTTTTTTGTGGGCTGTTAAGCCCATTCACATTAATGGAAAATGTTTTAAGTTTTTTCATTCTGTCCATCTTTGTTTTTATTTCCCTTTGTTTTAATTCTGTATTGGTATCTTGTAAGTACATGTGAAGGAGTCAAGTTTAATCATTTCTTTCCCCTACCCTGTCCATTTTTTTTTGCTTTTTCTGCTATTGTTCCAGTAGCTTCTTCCTCCATTTCACTTTCTTCTTCTTCTTGCTAACCTAGGTTCTCTCTATATCTTTCCAGGAAGCCTTCCACTTTATATATGGAATCTATTTTGTGTCTTATGTCATCATGGTTAAATAATTCTCCTTCTGGCACTAGCCATCTAGATGTAAATCCATTTGATCTTAGTAGATTCGTTAAGACTGTTTAGTTTTGCCGTTTCTCTCTGACTCTCCATGGAACTTCTTTTAGAATTTTTATCTCTGCATCTTGGATAATTACTTTAGTATCATTTGATGCCCTAAGGATCTTGTCCCTCATTTCTCTATTATTGAATTTTATGTCTCTCTTGATCAATCAAAAAAGCTGCAATGGGATTAGGGGATTGTCCATACAAAACACTTGTGGGGTTGGGGCTATAGTAAGGAGGGGAACTAAGCAAATTTGAATGGAAATGTTGCATCTTATAATTTATTTCAAAGAACTGTCTTCCCAACAGTTTAATTTCTTTTTCTACTCCTGTTCTTCAACCATAGAAGCTGATTTAACAGTTTTAAAATAATTTTTGCTTTAATTGTGCTAAAACTTCACAGAATCATTCACATTATTTAATGATTACTTTCTAAAGGAAAACAACTAGTTCCAGTGGTCTGAGAGTAGCAGAATTATTCTGCGACTGCAAAGACATGGCCTAGAGCGGAATGATGACTCTTGGGAATAGCAGATATGCTCTGGGACTGGAATGATAACCCTCAAGTGGAATGACATTCCTGGGAGTAGTAGAAGTGCTCTGGGACTTCAGTGAGAAGTCCAAGGGTGGAATGACAGTTACTCTCATTGAAATCAGTGCTCTGCACTTGTAATCACAAACTTTAGAGTGGAATGAAATACTGTACACTGATTTCAATTGTAGGGGTTGTCATTCTATTCCCATCTCTCATTCCATTCCCAGAACACTTTTCTGTCATTCCACTCTGAGGGCTGTCACTCCTGTCCCAGAATATTTCTGTTACTCCCAGAGGCTGTCATTCTACTGTGGGGGGTCATCATACCAGTCCCAGAACACTTCTGCTACTCCTGGGGAAGCTATCAGTCCAGGCCCAGAATGCTGTTGCTACTCCCGGGGCTGCTGTTCTATTCTGGATCCTGCTATTCAGGCCCCAAACACTCATGCTATTCCCAGAGACCATCATTTCATTTTGTAGGCCAACACTCTAGTCCCAAAGCAGTCCATCTGGGTCCAGAGGCCTTCATCCAAAATCCATCCTGCATTTTAATTGCAACTCTTTGTTCTATATTTTGGTAACCTATTTCATTTGAGCCCTTTTCATTTTTCTCTCTCCAAGGAAACTACTAAGTACAGGGCTTTGTACAGATTCATCTTTAACATCCAATTATATATCTTAGGAAGGAAGGCCAGTTTACTGAAGGACAGTATCATTGGCACTGTATCAAGAGTAGTATCACTCATGCAATTCTCTTTTCTGACAATCAAGCAAGAAAGTCCTGAAAACCTCCTCCATACAACTAGAACTCTATGTTGCCATCCTTCCATATCAGCAATGCAAGAACTGCTAGACTAACATTTGTTCTCAGTGAATATGTACGTGATGCTAATGGTCCTTTTTGAATATGGACAGGTGGTGCCCCTTTCCCACTGCAATGAAAATTGCCATCCTGGCTTTAGCAAGAAAAAGAAGGAGGGGGAGAAGTTTTGCTGCTATGATTGTGTTCCATGCCCAGAAGGAACAATTTCTCTGGACGAGGGTAGGACACTCAATGTACAAAGATGCCATTCATAAGAGGATGTTACATAAAATTGTTCATACTGATAGTTTGTACAGTCTGAGATCTTGAGGGAATGGGAACACCGGTCAATCACTGTTTCTCTTCCTTGAATAATAAGATCATCAGGTGTTTTCTAGAATTTAGAAATGATTGGGGGGGCACATTATAACCTATGGTCTTTTCTTCTTTCTCAAAGTGGTATAACTTTGCTGATTATTTGCTTCCAACATTGTAACACTAAGTCAGGTGTTTGTAACCTGAACCCTTGTTCTACATTTGGATGTGCCTTCAGACTGTTCATACATGGCTGCAAAGTAGCATAAATGGATGTTACACTCCATGTTTACTGAGAAGCCAACAACCATGCCAAGATTCTCCTGACATGTGTGGTCACCATGTGTAGTCTGAAAGGGGGAAAACGTGGATTTACACTTTTGGTACATGAGAACTAAAACCCTGAAAAATTCAGGTTTTTTGTAACCTGTACAGAGCTAGTACATGCATGTAAAATCCACGTGTTGCCCCTTTGATACAACATGGTGACATTGACATCCTCTCTCTGTGTCACTGATGATGAAATGCAAAATGAAGCCCACGGCCCAAACCCCAGGACAATTGACATTTCCAGAACTTGCTCAGTGTTGAAATAGCATGCTCTGCTTGTGTTGTGATCCATTCAAAATAATTGAATTGACTTTAGTTTTCAATACATAAGAACTTCAAAAATCAAGACAAGTTAGCAATAACTTGCCTGGAGCCATTTTGTGACACAATCTGCTATTTGAAAAAAGATTAATGCTTCTCACATCACAAAAAGAAGCACAATGTAAAAAAGCATAATTAAGTGGTAAGAGGCTGTTACTTTAGGGATTGCTTACTAATGTTCATCTGACCAAACCCTAAAAGGACAATGTTCTAGCACCTCTTTTCTATACATTCTAGGACAAGAGTAGCCAAACTGTGGCTCGGGAGGCTCTTTCACATCTATTGTGTGGCTCCCTGCAGGGCAGCTGGGGAAGTGAAGGGGAGGCATGCCTCCCCAATCGGTCTTCCCTTCCCCAGCTAGTGTTCCCCTCCCTGAGAGCTAGTTTGGTGTAGTGGTTAAGTGCGCAGACTCTAACATGGGAGAACCGGGTTTAATTCCCCACTCCTCCATTTGCACCTGGCTGGAAGACCTTGGGCAAGCCGTAGTTCTGATAAGAGGTGTTCTTGAAAAAGAGCAGTTTCTGTCAAGAGCTCTCTCAGCCGCACCTACCTCACAGGGTGTCTGTGGTGGGAAGGGGAAGGGAAAGGAGTTTGTAAGCCACTCTGAGACACCTTTGGGTAGTGAAGGGCGGGATATAAATCCAATCTCCTCCTCCTCTTCTTCTTCTTCTTCTTCTTCTTCTTCTTCTTCTTCTTCTTCTTGGGGGAGGGGAGCAGAGAGAGAAAGCTAGTTTAATTTTACATGTGTTCTCAAAGTCCCCCTCCTGCTGGCTTGGAGAAGGCATTTGTCTCTTTAAATCACTTCTCCAAGCCAAGCCAGCCGGTGTGGGGGCGTGGGGGGAGCTTGCAAAATACATTTAAAGTTAAAGTTGATTTCTTTCCACCTCTCCCTCCCCCCATCTTCCTTCCTTCCTTCCTTCCTTCTTTCTTTCTTTCTTTCTTTTTCTCCCTCCCTCCCTCTCCCATCTATTTGTTCTCTCTCTCTCAGACAAATAAATATGATTAGCAAACAAATATCATTGGACAAATAAATATCATTAGGCGTTGCCCAAAAGCTGCAAGTGTTCTGCCTTAGTTACAGCTTGTATTTAAAAGTTAAGTGAAAATGACACAGACCAGCCATTTAATAAGACCTAGTTTAAATAGTTTAATTAGTGTTGGCAGTCCTGAACCAGTAAACCCAGGAAGATGCAGTGGGTTGAACCTGGGGACTGTTGGTGAGACTGTGATATAACCTCCCATGTTACACTCTAGAAAGTCTCCCTATCTCTAGGATAAAATCCATAGAGATTATGGGGCATTGCTAGAATATTGCACCTGTAAGTGACACCACCGTTGACTTTACCCAGAAACAGGCAAATGGTAATCCTAAATTTAACACATGTTAATGCTTCATGTCATCAAGTATAGTAGTTCTGGTACAATTATAATGCCTATATTATAGATAGCATGCTTAGATATCAACTGTCCAAAGGCTACTTAGTAAACCCATGACCAATGCTCCCTCTAAACTATGGAGTCCTGTGAGCAAAAATTCTACTTTGTGAGCTACTGGCATTAAAGTTGTGAGTGAGTGATTTGGTTACTGCATAAATTAGTTTGCTTTGGAGCCATCCTTCCTGAGCTAAGACAAAAATGTGTGAGCTGGAGGCTAAAAAACTGTGAGCTAGGTCACACTAACTCAGTTTAGAGGGAACACCACCCATGATTGAGATGAGACCTGAATGAAGGCCTTTATGGTGCATGACTCTACAAAAGGACAAACCACACGTTCATTTGTAATAGCAAGAATTAAAAGCAGGCCTCACAGTTTCAGAACACCTCCGTGGAACTCTTACTTTCTTTATGTCACTTCTCAGCAACAACAGTTTCTATGATGCCCTTCTTTGAAAATAATAATGAAAATTATTTGATGTTTTATAACTCCATTATCTAGTCACTAATCAAAGCCTTGAGATAGGAAATTACTTCTTTTTCAGACATGGATGCCTGTGTGAAATGTCCACAAGATCAATATGCCAAGAAGAACCAAAACCAATGCATCCCCAAGGTCCAAAGTTTCCTCTCTTACAAGGAACTATTAGGAATTACCCTAGCTATTTCGGCTATTTCTTTCTCTCTGATCACAGCTTTGGTGCTTGGGATTTTCATAAAGCACCGGGAGACGCCCATTGTCAAAGCCAACAACCGGAGACTCACCTACATTCTCCTCATCTCCCTTCTTTTCTGCTTCCTCTGCTCCTTGTTCTTCATTGGACAACCAGGAAAAGTGACTTGCCTTCTCCGACAAACTACTTTTGGCATTATCCTCTCTGTGGCCCTTTCCAGTGTGTTGGCCAAAACCATCACTGTGGTTTTAGCCTTCATGGCTACCAAACCAGAATCCAGGATAAGAAAATGGATTGGGAACAGAATGGCAACTTCTGTGGTCCTTTTCTGCTCCTCTATTCAAGCAGGCATTTGTACTCTTTGGCTAAGTACTTCCCCTCCCTTCCCTGATAAGGACATGCATTCAGTTACAGGAGAAATCATCCTGCAATGTAATGAGGGGTCAGCTGTCATGTTTTACTGTGTCTTGGGCTACATGGGCTTCCTGGCCAGTGCCAGCTTCGCCGTGGCTTTCTTTGCCAGGAAGTTACCTGACAGTTTCAATGAAGCCAAATTTATCACCTTCAGCATGTTGGTCTTTTGCAGTGTTTGGTTGTCCTTTGTTCCAACGTACTTGAGCACCAAAGGGAAATCCATGGTAGCTTTGGAGATCTTTTCCATCTTGGCCTCCAGTGCTGGCTTGCTGGTTTGTATATTTTCCCCTAAATGCTACATCATCATTCTGAAGCCAGAGCTGAACCACAGGGATCAATTAATAAGGAGAAAAAAGTGACGAGAATATTAGGTTAGTTCTTACTTTCAGAAAGGGTTACCAACTACAGTTTGGGAAATTCCTGATTATTTTGGTGACATTTGGGGAGGGTGATGTTGGAAGAGTAACCTCATTGGGTTATAATGCCATGGAATATACTCTCCAAACCTTCCAAAGCTGCCATTCTGTCCAGGGGAACTAATCTTTGTAGCCTGGCAATACTTGTATTTATTTGTTTGTTTGTTCCTAGCCCTACCTCCCCGCACAGCAGGCTCAGGGTGGGTTAGAACACTCTTAAGACATACAAAAGGATATAATATAACAAAGTCCTTAAAAACTATGAATTACTAACAATACTAATACATGGAACATTAAGTGGCATCAGGGAGCTCTCTGGGCCTCACCTGGAAGTCAGCAAACCTACTTCAGATGTATTTCTTCCAAATGTCAGAAATAACTTATATGAAAATAAAGCCTGGTATCTCAAAACTGGCCACTGGATACAGGATGATGGTGTCAAAATCCTGGCACAGATTAGCTCCACAACTTCACTCTGCTCTTTGAAGTGGAACCAAACATTCACTCAAAAGAAGCCAGGAAAGTACAGGCAGCACAGAGAGAGAAGATGGAGAATATCCTTTTTCTGCTAAAAAAGAAAGGCATTTTAACCTTCAACTGATTCAACTGATGAGGGCCTCTGGAAAAAAAATGCATGGCATATCTAATAGAATACAATTCAGTTCAATTTGATTTATTACGATCAAAGATCAGCAAATAAATACAATAAGAATACAGTAGCATTTCTATTCCTACATCATCAATTTTCTTTCCTTCTCTTCCTTGATTCTACATTAGTGCAGCCCTCTTTTCTGCACTATGACCTACTCCCCCCCCCCAAATTGGGCCTTCTCCCTTTGAATAGGATGAAAAAAATTTTCTGAAGAACGTATTGGTATAATTCTGGTCAAACCATCTATGTTTTGGATGACATCCACCACACAAAATTCTGTACTGGGATGCTGTATTTATACAAGGTAGCTTTAAGACTGATTAACATGCTTCCACTTTATTAATGCTGTGTCAAACTGGACACATTCTCAGAGGACTAAGGATCAACAAGGAACCTGGCTTCTTCCAAACTCATTTTTTTTAAATCTAAAAATAACGGTGCTCTGACCTTAAGAAAGGTCCCTTGACCATGTAGTCCTTATTATAGTGAGTGACTTCTAACCAGTCTGTTACTCAGTTGCAATCATCCATAGAGAAACACATCTATGTGAGAGATACAGAGCAGTATGTTTGAACATCAGCTGCAGGATGTGGATGGTGTACTACAATAATTTAAGGAGCAAGAGAAAGAATTAAAGCCCAAAAGGCCTGCTTTGGATGCCCTGCCATCTGAGGCTACACAGGTGGCACCAAAATTTCATGGCACCAAAAGTTTGGATCTCCCTTCTGAGGCAGTTCCAACTGTCTTCCTCTGTGTCTTTTCGCAGCAAGTGAAAACCTTTTTGTTTCATCTGGCATACCCTCAATAACATTATTGTCCCTCCTTCTAGTCCTGTGTGTTTATGTATTTTTAATTCAGTTTTATCATTTTAACTGTATCTTTGATTGTTTACATGATTTATTGTTTTTATGTTCACCAACTTACGGACCTGATTGAATGGAGAGGAGGCATAAAAGTGTTTTAAATAAATACATCCCCCTGCCCCATGCGCTATGAATTATGGTACCACATCTCACCTCATTCTGCCCCCCAAAACATCTCTCCATCAGCAGGCAAAGGAACAAAAATTAAGACACACCCACACTGACGATACAGACCAATCTCTCACCTAGCTCTTGAAAAACATGAAACATAAAGGAAACACAAATCCAGACCGACTTCTCAGCCAGGTCCATAGCCAGGAATTTCTAAGTTGGGGGACATTTTAATTCCACGGGGGCACTGGGGCACTGGCTAATTCAATCAAAAGTAATTTAATTACTTTCTTTTTATCATTCTCTGGTATGGCTGCGTCCTCTGCCTGGCCATCAGCTGCGCCTGCCTTGTGCCTCCTCCTGGTTCTCCCCTCCACCCACCCCAGCTGCTGGCCTACCTGCTCACTTTCCCCCAATGCAGAAAAGGTGCTCCAGAGGTTGCTGCCAGGATGAGAGGCAAAGGTGGGGATGAGGAGAGGAAGCACCGGTTTCCCCAAGCTTGGAAAGGGAGGAGTTGGCTGGTGGCTGTGGGAACTAGGCTGGGAGAGGGCTCAGTCTGACCACCGCTTCCAGGACCATGGTGGGCCAGGACATGTAAAAAGAGCACTGGCCTGACTTCTCTCTCTCTCTCTCTCTCTCTCTCTCTCTCTCTCTCTCTCTCTCTCTGCAACTCCAAACCCCCAGGCCACCGTGCTAAGATGGAGTCATGCTGAGTCATGGAGGTGGGGATGGGGACTGGCCCAGAGAAAGGGGGAAGGCAAGGAGAACCGGTGGCCCTGGTGGTACAGGGGTGTGTGCAGCAGCCACTACATCTTGCCAGAGAGTCGGGGGGGGGGACTTGGCTGAAATTCAGGCATGGGGTCCTGGCAGGAAGTCAGGGGGCAGACCCCGAAATGGCCCACTGTAGCTATGGGTCTGTTCTCCCCTTGGATCTGAGTAACACACACAAAAAGCCCAGCTCTCACCTAAAATGAACTATCAAACAAAAAGTGACACGCCCTCAGATGCAGTGGTCAGCATTGAAGGGAAAGTTTGGGGAGACTGGCTGGAGGCAGACAGCTGGGAAGAAGCCTCCTTGCTCACTCACCCATCTCCAGCACCACTGCCTCAGTTGTGGCAGGCAGCATCCAAGGGGAAAGTTTGTGCTAAGGCAGTGGCTCTGTGGAGTGGCAGCTGTGGAGGTGAGCAGGTGGACAAGAAGACCCCTTTTACCCATCAATGAAGCCAAATTTATCACCTTCAGCATATTGGTCTTTTGCAGTGTTTGGTTGTCCTTTGTTCCAACTTACTTGAGTACCAAAGGGAAATTCACAATGTCTGTGGAGATCTTTTCCATCTTTTCCTCCAGTGCTAGCTTACTGAGTTGTATATCTTTTGCCCTAAATGTTATATCATTGTTCTGAGGCGAGAGCTAAACACCAGGCATCAATTAATAAGGAAGAAAAAAATGACAAGAATATAGGATTATTTTTACTTTCAAAGTAAGGTTGTCAAGTATGGGTTAGGAAATTCATGGAGATTTGAGGTGGGGCTTGGGGACAGTGGGGAATGTGGACAAGAGTGACCTCAGTGGGGTATAATGCCATGAATTCCATACTCCAAAGATGCCATTTCCTCCAGGGGAACTGATCTCTGTAGTCTGGAGAACAGTTGTAATGCATGGAGATCTCCAGTCCCCCAGCTGGAGGCTGGCAACACTATTTCAGACTTATTTGTGCAAAAAGTCAGGAAATCATAGTTCCGTATTAGGCTTGTAGAAATCTGTGGTGGCTACACTACATTACTTGAACATCTCAAGGAAGTGAGGAGGGTGGTTCAGAATCATGAAACATACCCCCCCCCAAAAAAAAGATTAAATATTTTTAAAGCACAATTTGTTGGAACTGTTTTGCTTTTCTGTTGCTGAAAGGTAAGACAGCATGTTCTTTGATCACCCACAAAAGGTTTTGCTGAGAGTCATGGGTCCTGCAGGTGCAAAAGCCATATAAGATATGGGTTGTCAAATGGAAAGGAATTAGGTGAGATTGAATAAAATACCTGGCTGGATGAAACCCAATGTCTATAACTGCATATCTATCCCAGCATAGAATTGCCATGCTCAGTCTGGGAAACAGAGAGAGACTGGGTGGATGGTGTCATCGGTGGTGGCTATGGTTTTACTAAGGAGTTTCCGATGGTTCATAGTGAAGCATGACATCACTTCAGGTTTTTCCAGCAGTGATGTCACACTGTTTTTGATGGTGATTTTTTAAAATTTGAATTTCAGATGAGTTATGCCTGCTACAGAGGACAGATAGATAGATCAGTTTGTATTTATGTACCAGGGGTCTAACAGTCATTCAATCTACTTGTAAACCCCATAGTGTAGTGTGCTTGCATTGCATACTGCATTCTCAATAAGGAATGTGAACATCCTGCCTTAGGGTATCTCCAGGTCCCCCCCCCAACCCCTATGGTTAATAGTGGCAAGAATAACTCATCTGTAAACAAAGCCAAGTGTCTCAGAATTGGTCACTGGCTTCAGTGTGATGGTGGAGCTGCAGTCCCGAAAATGAAGGGAAAATATCCTGGTACAGATTAACTCCACAACTTTGCTCAGCTTTTTGAAATGGAAGCAAAGATTCATGCAAAAGAACACGGGAAAGCACAGGCAGGCAGGGTGGAAAATATCCACTTTGTGAAATGGAGTTTAATGTCTTTCCTGACTTATCAGACTGTGTGGTGTAATGGTTAAAATATTAGACAAGGAGATCCCAGTTCAAATCCCCACTC